TGGGGATAGAGAGGTGGATAAACTTGTAGTAAAGCCGTCATTTTGGAAGAGCCGCTATTTTTATATTGTTTGCAAACCCTTCGCCAGAGTGAACATTTCAGAAATGGCACTTTCCCTTTCAATTTATCCATCTTCCTCCTTTATACATAGATAGACAAATAAAAATGAATCTTTCCAGAGGCAGCATGTATGCCACTTCTCTATATTCTTCAGATGGCTTATTTTTATTCAGCTTAAAGCATAACCTATCATTTTTATTCAAGATTCCATCCAGCCCCCCTCTCTCTGTCTCTCTCTCTATTTCTCTCTCTCTCTCTCTTTCCATGCAAGTCTTCAAGAAGCCCAGCCGCCCTGCTTTGTTCCAGAGACTCTGCTAAAGGCCAAAAGATGGAGATAGCACACCCATCTGGTTTGATTTCACATCCTAAGAGAAGGGGTTGAGAGAGCCCCCTCCAGTGGAAGGAACAAGGTGGCTGAGAATTAGCTTCGCCAGTCTCCTCTTTGTTTGTTTGTGATTAGCTTCTGGTGCTCATCTCAGGAAGACTCTTAATATCCATGGGAAATATACCACTAAACGAAGCTCACCTAGCAAACAGGAAAATGGTTGTCGTGCTTCAAAATCCTTATTGCTGAAGAATTCAATTTGGGTGTCAAGAAAACATTAGCATCTCACTTCTCTCTTCATCTTTTTTTTTTTTTTCCTATTCTCCTTTTCCCCTCTACTTAATTCTAAACAGTGTGTGAATTCCGTATGTATCAACCTTAAAGCAGCTGCTGGAAAATAACAGCCAACTTGAATATGCCTTAGGAATGGATTCCATGTCAGAATGAAAATTAAGACCTTGACGTCTCGTGGTTTCCAGGATCTCGCCATCGTGTTTGGTGAATAAATACCTCAGGAATACCAAATGGTGGTTGAGGGGAGAAAAAAATGAATATTGAAATTTATAAAATGGCCACTGTCCAAAATAGTAATATTCACAGGGAAGTGTTTTGACATCTGAGATAACCTCCATTTTCTTCAGAGCCGAGCATGCTTGATTTGGTTGGATTGATTTGAACAAACACATTATTACAACGAATCTCCAACTGCTCTCCTCTTTTTTACCCCTTCCATTTTTACAATTACCCAACACTCCAATCTCAGGATAAGAAAGGGCTTACAGCACCAAATTTTAAATCAGATGATATGGAATGAAAATCCTGGTTTTATCACTTTCCAATCTTACAGTTTGGGGCATCTGAATTAATCTTTCTGAGCCTTAGTTGAGAGCAAAAGAAAAAAAAAAGGAGGTAAAGGAACCAACAATTCCATTCCCACAGAGTAGTGGTAAGGGTTAAATAATAATACATACTATAGGTGACTTATAAAGTAATGGTAATCCTTATAGCTAACATGATTGCATACTTAAAAATTCATTGGCTACAGTTATAAGAGTTTGGTGTATTTTAGTCTATTACCTATTAGGTATGGCTATTGGGACAATTGAATTAGTTCATGTAAATGAAGTGATGCACTGAGGCCTAGCGCATGATCGATGTATTATTCATGGTAATTCTAATAATATCCTCACAATTACCTTCTCCGACTGGAATTGCCATTGGGTTTATTAAACAGATGAGGAAACTGAGGCACATATTACTCATAAAGGAAATAGAGGAGACAAGATTCAACAGATAATCTGGCCCCAAAGCCTATAACTTCAACCATCATAGTATGTCTACAGCTCTTTAAGCTCTGTATAAAGTATAAAATATGACATACATGAATATATAGTGTACATGTGTGTATGCAAACACGCACATAGTAGATTTTCCATATTAAAAAATAAAATCTTCTGATTAAGTTTCTACCTCCCAATCCAACCCCACAAGGAAGGAATGAAGGCTACAACTGGGGATTGGCCTGATTTATATTCAAAAATCATCATATTCTCATCTCAGTACCCTTCCTGCCCATATTTTCCTTTCTGGCTGAGGGGGGTTGCTCAGCTGGGCTTTGTGTGAGCTACAAAGCAGCAACAATTACATGAGGGAGTCCAGGAGCATGTTAACCACACACACAAAAAAAAACAGTTGTCATAAACACTGTGCATCTCAATGCAGTGCTTCAGTCTTTACGTAAGATTAATTAAAGAGCAGATGTTCTGTCATACCCTGCGTTAGGTATGGTTATCTTTGAGATTCCAGCTCCTCCATTTGCTGGGTTTTAATTTGCATCATTATGCATTTTGAGCCTGGGGCATGAGTAGTCAAGTGGTAAACATTAGCTATACTGCACTGTATTTCCAAATGCACCTTCACTATTAGGCTGACTAATAGAATTCAATTCTATTTTCAGCCGAATCCTCTCAATTTTCATTTGCTTTTGACACGTTACATGGCAGGAGGAAAGAGCAAGGGAAAATGAGGGAGAGAGAGGCAGCCACAGCACTATTCCTGCACGGGCCTCACGTCTGCAAGAGAGCCCCCTTCTGTTGGGTTTTGGCCATGCACCAGTATGGCCTTCCTTTTACTCCTACCTGGACCTGTCCTAAAATTTCCCCTCCCAGCCTCATGTTAGACGTTGACGCTCCAGATAGAGCAAGAGGTCTCTGCTTTTGTTGTTAGGAATTGGAGGCATCAGAGTGAATTCTGATTTTCTAAATGCAACCACTGAAAATTGATGTCAGAAAACTTTTCAGGCTGTGATCAAAGTCTGATATGAATTAATTTGTCATTATAACACAGCCCCACTTGCCAGGCATTTCAGACCAGGACTTGGGAAAGGCAGCAGATATCTGGGTTGACAATTTCATTTAAAGGACAGAAAGCTTTCTGCTTTCTTTTCATTGGTATCTTGATTTAATGAACACACAAACAGACCATCGCCATATGCTCCAAATACCAGCTTGCTGTTCTTCAAGAAGCAGCTTGGGAAAATGCCAAGGCAAGAAGCTTGGAAGAAACTTGAAAAGGCTTCAAGACATATCTTTGTAGCCTGGGATAGCAAATGCACCAGTGATTAATTACGCTGGGGTTGGACGTGAATAGGAATGTCAATAAGGCATTCGGCGTGCTGCAATAGAGGGCATGTTGGCCTGATAATAGAATCCTTCCTATTTTCCTTTCCCCAGTTTCCTTGCTGTTGGTAACACATTCGCATTCGGGTCAGAGATATAAGATGGCAATGTCATGCTGCTTCTCATTATAGAATCATGAGATCAGGTGTGACCACAACCCATGAGGCGGTGTCCTTAGAAACAGGAACTCCAGGATTTGTGCCAGAGACTTCTTATCTGAGGAGACATCCATAACTGTTTCTTCTTGTAGCAATCTTCCACTCCCACCTGCCCAGCCTCAGATACTCAGAAACAGGAAGTTGGCAACATCACATTTGAAAACCACTGCTCCTCCCTCAGAATCCAGGGTGAATGTTTGCCGAGATGTTAAGCATAAGAAAAGTTATCTTCTTTTTCTTTCTTAGGAGAAGAAGGTGAAGAAGAAGGGGAAAGGAAGAATAAGTAAAAGTGTTTTTAATCCAGAGCAGAAAATTTCATGGAGCCTAATGATTGGGAAGAACTTGCCTGGATGTGGAATTGCAAACATCAAAATCCAGAAAAACACACTGGATGATGAAGGTTTCAAATCAAATCTTGACGCTTTCGTGATCTGCTTCCGAGTTCAACTTGTAAGTTTCTTCTATGCTCTATCACCTAATCTGAGGATCAGCCCACATACACACTGAGTGGCTTTCCATCATCCACAAGACCCATTCTGGAGTCCTTCACATTGTATACAGGGCACTTTAAATCCTAGTCCTTGCTTATGGTTTCAGTCTCAGACCCTCTCATTCCCTCCATGTGCCCTACACTACTTGTACCATGCTGCTTACAGAAGTATGCCTACAGCCTTTCAATCTTTAGGCTTTTACATATTTGTTCCCTCTGACTGAAATTTCATTCTCTACATGATCTCTCTAGGATTCATTTTGGGTACATTGTTCACTTCTGTCCTGAGATCTTGTCCCCAATAACTCAATAACACTTCTGTATCTGCTCTTGAAGGTCCCACCAGAACTTCAAACCAAAAACATTTAGAATTTAATTCATCTTCCCTCCCAAACTTCCTCCAGTTTGTGATCCACCACATCTCTTAATGGCACCTGAAGAACAAGTCCAATAACTTTCAAAATATTGATTTTTTTTTTTTTGACTATTCCTTCCCTTTTAAGTCCTCAAGAGCCAGCCCTGAATGATTCCTGATGAGTTAATGTCCAGAAGTATTCTCCCCTGTTCAAAATCTTCACACTTAATCGTCTCCCAGATTTCTTGCTCCATTGTCACTTCTCTACTTCAGAAATATGTTTTGTCCCATGTGGCTTATTATGACATTCATCTAATTGATATTCTTTCTTTCTTTCCAAAATTCTCTTTTGACAAATTAATTTGTAAAGCTTGAGGTCTTCATTTATTCAGCGTTTCATTTGACATGTCATGAGCACATGACCTGGTATCAGGATACACATCCTTTAAGAAAGAAATTCCTATATCCACTTAAAGTGACAATCAGTGATTTAAATGTAGTATCTTAAATCAGTGGATAATAAGTAAATGAATAAATGAATAAATAGAGCTTACAGTTTAGTTGGGAGAAAAGATATAAAGTCATTACAAGCTAAAATAAAATTTCTCCCATGATATATTTTTGGACAATCTGTAATTGATTGCCTAATAAAGGATGTTATCCTTCTGAACTAATGTAATGAAAGAAACTCTCAGATAAAAAAAAAGAAGGAAGAAAGCCAACTAAGATTTATTGAGAAAATATTATACATTAACCCTATGTGAGATGCATTACATAACTCTTTTGTT